GGTCTTCCGTCCTCCAAGCCGCGGTATGCCATTAATCACTCCGGTGAACGCCGGTCTAGTATTTCGCAACGTCAACCCACCCGCTTGACCCCTTCAGTTTTCGTTCCCCCGCTGCTTCTTGGTAACATTGAAAACCCCAAGTACCTACGGATTTCCCCCATGACCTTCGCTACCCCTGCTGGCTCTTCCAAACCTGGTCTTTTGCATCACATGAAGAACACTGCTGCTAAGAACCCACCTTTGGCGAAAGAGGTCACGCTGCTCAAGGTTTCCACTCCTCTCTCAATGGATCGGGTTCTTCAGCCAGCGCTGTTTGCAGGACTGAAGCAATATTTTGAGTCACGCCGGCGCATCCTTAAAAGTGGTGATTTGGTCGGAATTAGCGTGGATGAAGGACTTGGTAGAGCGGTGTTCTCTGGCACCGCTGGCGGTGACAGTGCCAGCCAGGAGGAAGATATCACTATCAGGCTGGGCCAAGGTGTCAATGGAAATAATGCTGGAGCCCGCAAAATTGGCGTCGCTTGGTTCCGTGTCGGGCAGGTAACCCCGACTACTATAGAGGAGCTCGAGGAGACAGGCGAAGATCAATGGGGCGGAGTCGCTGTACTTGACCCGGCGACCACGCGCATGGTACAGGCTGGGAGCGACGTGAGCCGAGTTCCCGGCGTGTTGGGCAACGGGTGGGAGTATTGGCTGGGCGTCAAGACGATCCCAAAGAGCGTCCATGATGCCCTAATGCCCCATGGCATTGTTGCCGAACCACCTCAGTCCTTTACCCCATTATTGCAGCAACGAATCCGTGATTTGATGTCTGCTGCCACAAGCCCACGGGCTATTCAGCTAGGCATGAAGCCTGTCTTTATTCTCCTCACATCCCAGCAAAGACATATCGGCAAGGCAACCGTAGCAACTCGAGCGTGCTCAGATATCGGCCTCCACACATTCCCCATCGATGCATACGATATCTTGACGGAAGGCGGCGCGAATGGTGGCGACGTCAAGACCGAAGCATATCTCAAAGCCCGAGCAGAACGGGCTTTCCACTGCGGAGCAAACTGCACTGCACTGCTGATCAGACATATCGAGGTTCTAACCGCTGATCGCATTGTCACGGCAATGACCGATATTTTGAACGATGCCAGAGTTGTCATTGCCACTACGACTGATATTGAAACTATCCCGGAAGGTATCCGAAGCCTCATCACCCATGAGTTCGAGATGGGTGCTCCAGAGGAGAAAGAACGTGAAGGCATTCTGCAAAATGCCGTCGCAGAGCGCAGCATCAGACTGTCTGCGGATGTGGAACTGGGCACCATTGCTCTGAAGACCGCAGCTCTTGTCGCAGGAGATCTGGTTGACGTCGTGGAACGAGCTGCCGGGGCGAGAACAGCTCGCCTCGAAAGTCTGGCTGAGGCTAGCAAGAAACTTTCCGGTTCTGAGGTCTTTGTCAGAGATGTCCTTCTCGCAGGAGGGGATGGTGCACGAGGTGTCACCAAGGCAGACTTTGACACTGCTGTAGAAGCTGCGCGGAAGAACTTTGCCGATTCGATCGGTGCACCCAAGATTCCAAACGTTAGCTGGGATGATGTTGGTGGATTGACTAATGTTAAGGATGCCTTGGTCGAGACCATTCAGCTGCCTCTCGAACGGCCCGAGCTCTTCGCCAAGGGTATGAAGAAGCGCAGTGGTATCTTGTTCTATGGCCCACCCGGCACCGGAAAGACCCTGCTTGCTAAGGCCATTGCCACTGAATTCTCTCTCAACTTCTTCTCTGTCAAGGGCCCTGAACTGCTGAATATGTACATTGGTGAATCTGAGGCAAACGTGCGCCGGGTATTCCAGCGCGCTCGGGATGCTCGTCCCTGTGTTGTGTTCTTTGATGAGCTGGATTCTGTTGCGCCAAAGCGTGGTAACCAGGGAGACAGCGGTGGTGTTATGGACCGTATCGTCAGTCAGCTGCTCGCGGAGTTGGATGGAATGAACGGCGGCGAGGAGAATAGCGGTGGAGTCTTTGTCATTGGCGCGACTAACCGTCCCGATCTGCTTGACACTGCACTTCTCCGCCCTGGTCGCTTCGACAAGATGCTCTACCTGGGCGTGTCAGATACACATAGGAAGCAGGCGACTATCCTAGAGGCTCTGACGCGGAAATTTGCTCTCAACCCCGATGTCTCGCTTGACCGCGTAGCGGAACAGCTCCCTTTGACTTACACTGGTGCTGATCTGTATGCGCTCTGCTCTGATGCCATGCTAAAAGCTATCACCCGAAAGGCCACCGCGGTCGACGACAAGATCAAGACTTTGCCAAATGGTCCCGTCAGCACTGCTTGGTTCTTTGACCACCTTGCCACGAAGGAGGATGTGAATGTGACTGTAACCGAGGAGGATTTCCTGTCTGCTCAAGGGGAGCTTGTGCCAAGTGTTAGGTATGTCCACTCTCCTCCCCATTCTACCCTACCTCTTTCTCCTCTCGGTGACATACCATGATACTGACCTCTCGCAGTGCCAAGGAACTCGAACACTTTGAGCGCATCCGCCAGACCTTCGAAGCAGTGGACAAGTCAAAGCAAGACCCCGCCGCTGCCGCTCCACAGACAATCGCAGAGGCAATGGAGGCATTCAACCTAGGTGGCTCGGCCACACTAACAGAGGCACCTGCCACAAATGGTGACAGCCACGGAGCCGGGAGTATTCACGGCCGTATCAAAGGCCTGAACAAATGGCCAGGCAACGGTATCCGCAGCCTCAGCGGCCAGTCCACAACCAGCAGCAAAGGCAAAGGGAAGAGCGTCAGCAAGAAGGGAAAGGGGACTCGCACTGGCGCGGAATCTGATGGATCTGTTGATGGCGACGATGAGGATATGGCAGGTGGTGCCAATGCCAAAGAGGACGAAGACAATGATGATTACATCGTTCGGACTGATCACTTGATGAACCGTATGGAGGAGGTTGAATAGAAAGTCTGGCATGGACATACATTTTAACGTGCTGGCACTGTTCAGCTGGCCGACCAGCCGGCCTTTGTATCTACTAGCTGATTTGATATACCAATTGTTTATTACATTTTCAACTTTTCCTGCTATTATTATATCCTTAGCCTTCTTATCGTCATATGTGGTATTCCATGATTGTTCCTGTCGTTTTTAATACACGGGCCCTTCTCTGTCGAAACAAAACCAATCGCCTGTACCAGGATATGCCCCCCCCTCCCCTAACACCCACCGTCATTTCATAGCTCATAAGCTGAGCCAGTTATATATACTGAGAGTAGAGAAATTTGAGAAAAGAAGAATTGCTAGAACATGAATTTGAGAAGTGAAAGGTGGGATACAAGCGTGCGTGATATATAAATGATACATCCTTATAGATCATTATATTGATAGCATGGCCGTAATAAGACACCTCAATTGCTAAATGGATCTTGACCATGTACTTGAGCAGAATCGTACGTAATGATCTCCTCGGCTTTGACCAACATCAAGCCTCCTTTTTTACCTCTCTATTGATGATAGAACCGGTTCACCAACATGAAGAGTATCAATATATCGGACGGGATTTTGTTCCTCTCAGTGGCTCAGGTATCCGGGCTACGCGTGATATCAGGTTCGTTCATCACATCTGTAGACAATATTTTTCTCTATTCATTAACTAACTTTACCTTTCTCGTTGCAGTCCACTGATCATCCATCCATCTCCAACATCATCCGCCCTCCTACTTATCTCATAGCCCTTCCTCCATCCTTTTCAGCTCCAAGGTTAAGTTGATCCACATAGAAGCTTCCTGAAATCTCCCACCAACATTAACACTGATAGGGGTTGTCGTTGATGCCATAGGACAGCGACACCTCACTGGATCCGTTGAACTATTCATCTCCGATCGTAGGCTTCAAACCCCCACTGTGACCCGAATTCTCCGATTCTCTCCACACTGTCCCGCGAGTTGCTCTACAGGCAGATCGTGGATTTCATGCATGACTGTTTCGTGAGTCTTCCGCTTGCCGCTAAGAATTCCTTGCGGCAGTGGCGGCACCTTACCTGTACACAACCGCGTCTGTGTGCGGAACGTTGCTGGTTTGGGATATCTTTACCACAGCTGCGGCAAAGCAAGCTTTCCAGTTTGTACCAGGTCGCATCCAAGCCCGGGTCATCGATGGAATACTTCTGGACAATTAGCCAACTGAAAGCGGCAAGTCGAACAGCAAAGTGTGTGTCGTGCGAAGAGATCTGTGGACATACCTTTACACCCACGATGGAACGTATCTGCATCGACTGCATGCGATTAAACTAGGCTTACTGGTCATATGACTTTAACTGCATACACTTCAGCTGATATTAGTTTCCTTGTATCACTGGGCCCTGAGTATGCATTGGTAAGAAATCGTCGAGGTTTCTCTTCGTAACTCCAAATTTCCTAGACCATGCAAGCCAGATTCATCCCATACACATTCCGGTTGGGTTCCTTTTTTTCAAGAATCAGGAGGCCGAGTTCCCCCAATAGGGCTTATAACCTCGCAGAGCAACTCAACCACTTCATATATAGCATCTTCCTTAATCAGATCACAGTGGGAGGGCACGTGGCGCGACAGTGCAGGATAACCTCCCGCTCGGTCTCGTCCACACAAGAGAGTATATTGTAAATAAATATAGTAAGGTTCTGTTTCCCACATCGCGTTTGTCATGTCAGCAAGTCTCGTACTTTCCACTTCAGTCTCACCATAAGTTGGTGGGTTTGTTTGTTGTCTCTTTTTCTCAGCTCTTCTCACCTTTTCTCTTCACATCTTCCTTCTCAATCTCTTCCCATTGACCTTCCATCCGTCTCAACCGGTAGGTTTTTATCATCCACATAGAGCGTTTATCATATCAACCACTGACATGGCATGGCACTGATAGGTTTCTTCTATTCGTTCACCGCGCACGTGTCTCCGAAGGCTTCTGTTACGGCCTTTACTTCAACATATCCAACCTCATAATTTGCGTTATCTGCACTCTGTTCCGCCAGAATGAATATCACGCTGAACACAGAGCAGTTGTCCAGGGGATGGGCTCTTGCCAACAGCTGGGAGCCCGCAAAGCTGCTAGAAAAGCTGGCAAAGAACCCTCGTACCATGGCAAATGGTACCCTTGATTTTGAGGAGGGACATATACCAGAGGCGCTCAGATTCAAGGAGGAGGGCACGAAGGGCCTAGGAAATTTGAGATATCTCCCGAACGAAATTGTGGACATGATTGTCAACATGTTGGACATGCCTAGTGCTATAAGTCTGTCATGCATCAACCACACTGCCAACTTCTTTGTTCGGAAAAGCCCCGTGTCATTCCTGAGGCAATGGGCTCCCGGCCTACCGAAGCTTCTCACCCAGACCCGGACCGTGAAGAATTGGACCATTCGTGAGCTCAAGGACGCAATTCGCCGCGAGCAGTGCGTGGTATGCGGTGACTTGTGTGTTCAACTCTACCTTCCTACGATGGAGCGCATCTGCCATCCATGTATGCACGACAACCACGCATACTGGTGCCTCCCCGTGGAACAGGCAGCCTTGATCTTCGGCCTTGATCTACCTGATGTCATTAATTTTCAAACCATGTACCTGCCGAGGCTGAACAGGAATGGCTATGATTTGGGAGATCTTAGCGCCTGGGTTGTTCCTGTCAAAGTGGCACTGACTAGAGCCCTCGAGCTGTATGGCACCCGCAAGGCTATTAAGCGCGCTGCGGAGGGCATCCTATCAGGTATGGACGAAACTGAAGAACGTAACATCCCTGACGACGGTGAATTTGTGGTCGAAAATCAAAATGACATTTACCGCGCTGCTTCCTTGTCCACCATCTCTACCCCACTGCGTTCGCTTGGCTTATTGGAAAGGCATCAAACGCATATTTACCATCATGACGTTACCTGCCAGGTTCCTGTCGTCACTTATGAAAATACACGCAAAATTCTTCAGTTGTGTCGTGGCTGCACTGCCATGCTCACTCACACCAAGCTGAAAGACATTCACGAGAGCCATATGAGGATGATGGGGCTTGACCCCGAGCTCGACAGGTTTGAGCGGGCGTTTAAGATCTACCGTCGCGCGTTTCGTGTGCGGACTGAGGTTGAAATGGTCGAGCATCTTCGAACCGAGTGTGTCGGGGGTTGGACCCTTATGTGCTCTGAGCGTCAGAACAAGGAGGCATAGATGGCTCGCCCTAGATAAAAGACGTCATTGCCAGTCAGGCACAATTTCAAAAACATTTGTGATGGAGATGGTGGAGGAACAGTGGATCAAGAGGGGCTCTTGGGGTCATCCAACTGGCTGTGTTCGTTGAACCGAGCCATAAACCATTTACACAATGAAAGGTTGGAAAACTCGAGGATTGAAATTTCCACATATGATGTCAAGTTGCGGTTTGGGAGGTGGAAAGGGTGATATCAATGTATGTGTTTTCTACCAGGGACAATGGAAGTGTGTGGTGGCAACTTTGGTTTCCTTTGTTCTATGTACTCTTCTTTTCTCGTCCTTTCTCTTTTTCTCTTTTTATCTCCGAAGGAACGTGGCAATTTTTATTTCTGAGTGGAGTACTCCGTCAGTCGAAATCCCTCTAGCAAAACTGGTATCCATTTGGGCAAATACGCAGATACTCAGATACGCTCGGAGCAGGAATAGGGTCAAGCTCAGAAACATTTTCTGTCTCTGCCTATCCATGGCTGTGCTGATAGACGATCTCATATATGGATAAGATTCCATCCGGTGAAGGAGATACCTTTACATAGGAGTATTTGTCTCTAGAGATAGGGAAGGTTTTGCGGCCCACTGCTCCACACCCAAAACCCTCACCTCGGCCTAATTGATCGAAACAAGGCGGCCGTACACCCTTACAATTAAGCCAGAGGTTAGCCAAGCCCTTAGACACAATATACCTTCATTTATCACGCACATTACTATATTCTTTTGTATTCATCCGCCTCCAAAGATCGGCTGTTTTCCCCTTCCCCCCGCGTGCCTTGTGGGTCCCCGGGGACAGACTTGGCCAATCATACATCAACTAAGGTACAAGCTCTGGGGCTGCCGGCGCAAGCCATGGATCGCCGGTCCGCGACCGCCCAAGGATCAACAAGGCCTCGATGATCTCGTAGCTTCCAAAAGTTATGACTGGCTGAAATCACCGGTCTCGGTCCGCCGGACCACTCACAGGCACCGCCGGTTATCGCTTCTAGTCTTTCTATACCCCAAATTCGTTACATAACACTTCTCCGTACTTGGTTCCCCCGCGGGGAGCCAGTAGACATTGCGATATTTCAGAATCTGGTCGTCGTTTCGCTCTTAAGATGCCTGTTCCTCCTGCTCTGACCCTTTTCTTTTCTGGTTCTGGCACATAGCACTATGGACAAAGACGAATACAATAATGACGATGCTCAGCTGGCCCGGATGGGCCATAAGTCTGAGTTGAAGCGAAACTTCTCATTGATGTATGTGCTGCAATTGACCAATTTCTGGGTTGTGCTAACCTCCCGAAGATCGATGCTGGGTCTTGCTTTTGCCATTTTAAATGTACGTGATGCGACCGACTTACCAAATTCCTTAATCAAAAATTGACAGTGGACAGTCATGGACCGCTTTGTCGGCAAGTTTGGGGCTCAGTTTGCCCTCAGGAGGTAGTACTAGTATTGTCTGGGGTATGTATCCGCCCGATTCTTTGCCCAATTCTCAAAATCCAGCGCTGACAAGAGTCCCCAATAGGTCTCATCACGGCAGGAATCTGTAATTTGTGCATGGCAACCTCCCTAGCTGAGTTCCTTTCTGCATACCCCACCGCGGGAGGGCAATATCATTGGGTCGCTGTGACTTCATGGGGAAAATGGATGCCAATTCTTTCCTGGATTACGGGATGGGTGAACTGCTCTGGCTGGGTTGCGCTGGTCGCAACTGCTGGTCTGCTGGGCAGTCAGCTCATTCAGGGTGTGATATCTCTCATGAACCCGGTAGGTCATTCTTATTCTAGGCTATAATCTTGATATATATGTGGCTGACATTCAAATCCAGAGCTATAGCCCCCAGCGCTGGCACCAATTCCTGATCTATATCGGCTACAACATCGTCGCTTTCCTCATCAACGCGTTTATGAACAACCTTCTGCCTTATGTCACCAAGGGCGCTTGTGAGATACCCTATATTGACCCCTCGGAGATCTTCTACTAATTCCCACAGTCATCTGGTCTTTGACAGGATTTGCCGTCATTTGCATCACCGCACTTGCATGTGCTTCACCGAATTATAACTCCGCAGAGTACGTATCCAATTGACCATTCTCTAGAGCCAAAATGCTAACCAAGAATAGATTTGTCTTCACGGACTTCATTAATACAACAGGATGTAAGTTTTCTCTATCATTATCTCCTGTTTCTTGAACTGACTCTTGTAGGGCCTGATGGAGTTGCATGGTTGCTTGGGGTATGTCGTTCGATGCGAAAGTTTATGAGTAAATCTAACAATTCATAGCTTCTGCAAGGTGGCCTTGGTGTTACTGGCTTTGATGGCGTCGCTCACATGATTGAAGGTAACTTCTAGGAGTTTGCATTTGGTTTGCATTTGATCATAGAGCTGAGGCTAACAGACTATAGAAATCCCCAACCCCTCGATTGAGGGACCCAAGATCATGATTGCTTGTGTTGGTATCGGTACCGTCACTGGAACAATCTTCCTTGTTGTACTGCTCTTCGTGGCTGGCGATATCAACAAGATCATTGATTCTGCGGCAACTCCGCTCCTTGCAATTTTGAAGAATGCCACTTCAAGCAATGCAGGCGCTATCTGTCTCTTGATGTACGCTTCACTGCTCTCCCTCCCACTAGCGTTTTGTACTAACATCGTTTCAAGCTTCCCGCTAGTCTGTGCTCTGTTCGCTGCAACCGCTATTATGACAACTAGCAGTCGCATGGTCTATGCCTTCGCGCGGTATGTTATCATCGGCATTCATATTTCAAACGTACCCATTATACTGATAGTAGCTATAGTGATGGAGGACTCCCTGCATCCCCCTTCTTCTCGCGCATCCACACCAAACTACAGGTTCCTTTGAACTCGTTGTATCTCAATCTGGCTCTCGTGGTTATTTTCGGGTGTATCTTCTTGGGCTCAACCAGGTAAGAATATGCACGACACTTTGCCCTAGATAATGCTAACGTCTCCAAGCGCTTTCAATGCTATTGTCTCAGCGTCAGTGGTACTGCTCGATATCTCATATGCAATGCCAATTGCCGTGAACTGCTGCCGAGGAAGGAGAATGCTACCTGAGCGCTCATTCAAACTGCCAGAAATCGTTGGCTGGACCCTCAACATCGTATGAGATCTTCCCTTGCGGCTTCAGTAAAACGACTACTTTACTGACCCGAAATGTCTTAGATCTCGTTGGCGTACATTTCCCTGACTACTATCCTTTTCCTTTTCCCCCCTGAGTTGCCTGCCACTGGCAGCAACATGAGTGAGTTGGCTTTGTCTGTTTGTGATGCCAAAGCACGAAGCTAATTCGATATCACAGATTACTGTGTTGCGGCTTTCGGTATTGTGTTTGTCATTTCCACCATCCAGTGGATTGTAGATGGACGCAAGAATTTTGTCGGTCCCCGTATCCAAGTGGAAGTCTTCAATGGAGAGGTCGGTACTCAGCCAGAGCAGCCGATTCCATTCGTTGAACAGCATAAGGAGTAGATCTTCCGATAGCCAGGATTTACTATTACATATGATGTAACTTTACAGCGCAAAATCTAGATTATTCAAATAAATTATTCGCAATCCAGGCAACTGTGAAATACGTCGCAAAATGATACAAGCCTTCATATTAACACGCTTCTGCCTTAGGCTGAAAATATTTACCTATCTCAATTGTCATCTCCTATCAAAGGGGTGATTTTGTATATTTGCATTTTTCTGGAGCAAGCGGAGTAGCAGGTGGAAGTCGTCCGCTCCCGCCCAACTAGATTCATCGGTTATCATGTGACCAGATTGATAACCCTAAATCTCCTACGTCATATCAACTTACGATGCACGTGATGGCTTCCCAACAATCCCATCCAAACAACTACACACGGCCTCACACATCGCCACAATGTTTACTGTTCGGTGGCCATCATTGCCGTCGTTTGGATTGTTTTCATCCTCGCCCACCCAAGCGATTGATTTACCCCCGGTTAACGTCCATGAAACCGAGACAGCTCAAGACAAGCCGGGCCGGGCATTCAAGCACCTACTGAAATTGAACCATGTCGAGAACTCGCTGTTTGACAGTCGAAACTTCCCTAATCAGTTAATACATGTGAGTGACTTGCATTGCCTTGATCACAAGAGATTTCCATGTATGCATTCCTCGTCACTGGTCCATGATATTGACCTACTCGCAGCTCTTGAGCTCCTCCCTTTTGCAAGGCGCAGACGCCGATACTTTAGGTCGGATATACGAGAATAAAGTGTCTGATATGGTGAAATGGAAAGAATCACCGGCAGAAATCACTACTCTTGACTGGCGAGGCCACCTGGGATGTCGAAGGTGGGTTGCTGGGCTTGTCTCGGCCGTTCGTTCGCCTGGGAATTCTCGCTAACTCCCAGCAGATTTGATCGAGCTTTCGTGGATTTTTTTGAAGACGAAATGGTCAATCTCAGCTATAACTGGAAGGAAGTTGTAGCTGAATACTTGTTTACCGGCAAAGAGCCCATGTTTGATTCTATAATGGCTTCTCGTATGTTTTCATGCTCCTCGACGAGAACCCCGTGCTTGGACTTACACCCGCTAATTCTGTCTAGTCGGATTGCCATTGATTCATCTTGCGTACGCCTTTGAAATGGACAGTCGTGAAATCGCAATGGAAGCACTCGGCCTTGCAGCAGCCTGCTACAATGACATCTACAAGTCCCTGGAGGACCCCAAACACTCCAAAATCGAGGCAGCCTACGAATCAAAGTCACTCTTTGCAATTCTTGACTTAGTCCGCAAAGATGAGGACTTGGATGACCTCTTTCCCACTCCTGGCAGCGACAATCTCGATACCCTTTTCGTCAGTCGCAACGCCGTGCTTCTCAACCACTGGAAGGCGTGGAAGATCGAGAATCCAGTTGAGCAGTTCCGCGAAAGCCAAGAGCTTGCAGCTGCCTTACTAGTTGGAACAGCAGTTGATTCAACTGGGCATTACGATCTGTTCTTCGCTTTGAACCTCGCAACCAGCCACGCAGTCCGTGTCGTGCTGCCTTTCATCCCTCCCCAGTTCCAAATTTCTCTTCTTCGACAATGGTGGTTAATTTGCATTGGCATCTACGTCGCGCAACTGCGGCCCGAGATCAAAATGGACCAAATCCGAAATTATGATCTGAATGGAAAGGACTGGGAATGGGTGGCTGAGAAGGCTGTCAATGGTGAATTCTCATCCGATGTGTACTTTGTCGCGACCACCCGAGCACTGAAGGAACTAGCCTCGACTTGGGGCGATTCCGATAGCTTCTTCTTGAAGGCTGCTGTGCGGTTTGTGACTGAGTTCAAGGGTTGGCGGGGTAACTTTATCGGATATGAGCTGTAAGATCTGTTTATATCTTTTCCACTCCACTCATCCCAAACATATATACAATATAATAAATAATCCAAGAAAATATATTGATCGATGAATGTCCCTTCACTATGAGCTTGGGATGGAGCAAAAGTTTGTAGATATGTATATGATCACGTGGCTGAATGTTTACACTGTTTGCATTTCAGAAACGCGGGTACAAGATGATCGAGATCACCACTGGCATCACCAATCTCCTTTAAGCAAGACAATATTTCTCATGGTCTTGGACGGTCCTAAATCCTAAATCAGTGTGCTTGCTAGATAAATTACCTAGGTATTTTGCTCTATTTCCCCTTATCCTTCTGGCTTAGGAGCATCAAACACCACCGGTCATCAAACACCGTCGCTCTGTCTGGGAACACGCGCGTGCACAGCTTCCACAATGCAGGAGGCCGATGTACCCCTATATCTTCATGCAGAATTCCTACCAAACATCCGCCAGATAACCCTTTACGTCTCCCTTCCCGGGACTGCAACATTTGATGGGATCCGACCAGATATCCAACTTTCAGACTCAAGAAAAGCAGTCACAGTTTCCCTATCAAAACCATTTGAATATGTCACAGAAACAATCAAACTGCCAGCAAGGGTTAATGACGCATCTCGGCGCGTGTTGAAATCAATATCTGGGCCAGCACCAAAATCAGATCCCAATAATGCTGGGGATCCCAGCTACGATTTTTCTTTCCGAATGCAGGTCGATCCCGACGAAGAGACGCTGGCGCCTCGAGATGAACTAATTGATGAATTTGCACCCTGGACAGCAGAGGAAATGTCGTCCGCGACTCGTATTCGTTGTCGAGAGTGTGAACTTGCTTTTCTTGATTTGTCATCAATATCCAAGTCGGTTGATCAAGGAACAGCAGAAAGCACTACCCTTGGATGGACCTGGAAAGATCTTCCAAGTGGCAACTGGGCTGAAATGATGGATTTCTGGCATTGCCACAAACCTGACCCTCATGAAGGCCACGCAAAAGACGAGAAAGACTCTGCGCTTCAGGTCGAGGACCAAACCGCGCAGACTAAAGGATATGCTGCGGATAGCCACGTTGTGGCCATTTCCGGGACAATTTTTGTTGATGTGGCCACTTTCCTTCTTGCTGAGGCAGACTGCACAGGATTGAAAAAGGTAAGATTTATATGCCCCTCTCCTCTTTCCCCATCGTTTCATCCTGCTTTTCATTCCCTCAGAATCGGGCAACTTAGAAGGAGACCACTCATTTTTCAGTGGGGTGGCCTCCGATACAATTGCCCAAGATGGACGAAATGCACTTTGTGTACTTGCAATCCAAGGCGAGGGTGGTACTCTCATGGGAAAAGGATCACGGACAAAATGGGTAGTTATCCTCTCTCCGCAGATGGATTTCGCTCTTTGCGTTTGCGATACTGGACTTGCGTGAGCCGCTTTCTCCTTAGTTTGTGACTCAGGGTGTTCTCTCTTTTCAGCGCCGGCTATTCGAGCAGTGGAGTGGGCGTGATTACAAGAGGTACATTATAGTATTCTCCTTGCGTGATGTAATATGGGCAGTATCTATATAGCCGTGAGCTTGAATGCAATGCCTTTTTCTTCCTTTATTTTTCAGTATTTTCTGCGGCGCAATAGCTACCGTTACAGTTCCCCTTACAATTCCAATTTGCTGACAAGCAATGCAATTTAGGGCAATGATGAAGAGCAAAAATCCAATGCTGAAGTCTCAACACAACGAACCCTCGACTGCGCCAACTGCAATTCCATAATCGGCATGGAAGATCCAATTGCCAAGGGATGGCGACTCCTGAAGGCCAACGTGTCCCTGAATACCAATTCACCCAGCTGTGGGGCAGACAATGCAAAATGGGAGGTCCACCCAAGAGAAACCATCGTTGCTGCGCAGTTGCTTGAATTGATCGAGAGAGAAAGCGCTCGGCGATTTGTCGTTCATTGTGGCCAGAAAAGCGGTCTCCTGGTAGGTGATATTCCAATTTATCCCAATTGCCTCCCAATTTGAGGCATTTCGGAGAAGCAAATCTACAGATGACACCCACTAACGAATATTGCACTTGGCAGCTTTGGGTCTTCAATCCAGACATGCGATACTCGAATTCTAGCGCAGGCTGCAGTATCATGGCCCAGCAGGCGATGAAGGTATTCTACCAAAAGACCCCCAATGTGGATGAATTGCTTCAGCCGGAAATTGGCAATCCGTCGCCCTTGTCGGTGGAAGAGTTGGAGTTGCCATCCATGATATTCGAAGCAATGTCGCAAGCATTGACTAGCAGTAATAAGATGCTCCCGCTCTCTGCTAGGCGGTTCAACGAATGGGATGTTGGGCTTTTGAGTCGTTTCAGACGCGACAAAACTTGAGTTGCCGAGATTTCTGTATGACACAAAGCAAGAAAGCCTATGTGCATGCGGCATATCCAGGCCGATAATGCAAGGATGGAAATTAAATCATTCTTATTCTTTTCTCAATTTAGGCTCGAGATTATCGTAGCTATGTCATTATATATATGAAAGGCTTCCAGCGCTCCCATCTAGCCCTCAAAGGGGGTCTCGAAGGGAGGCTCGGCCTGGGGTGTGAGACGAGCGATGTGTCGGCGCTGACCATCCTCCCAGTCGAAAACGGCGGAGTGGCATGCCACACGGTTCTGCGAAGATCAGCATCTTTTCTCATAAAGAACAGGTTGGTGCTATAACTTACATCCCAGACGACGACGGTACCAGCCTTCCAGCGAATACGAGCCTGAAGGTCCTGCGACAAGGCGATGTGGTCGTACAGGAACTTGAGGAGGTGGTCCGATTCCTCTTTCTTGTATCCAACAATATATCGAGTGACTATACGAGAAGAACGAGACATGTCAGCTTTCCAAATCTTTCGCTAAATGTTCCGGTCCAGACTTACACTGAGGGTTCACGTAAAGTGCCTTCTCGCCAGTCACAGGGTGAGTCCGGACAATGGGGTGCTCCGATGTGACAGGATCACGGCGGGCAATACCACCACCATTCAAACTAGCATTGATCTGCTCGAGACCAGAGTGTACAGCCTTCAATCCGTGCAGTCGTTCCCGGAAGCCAGGCGACAGGCGCTTATATGCCTGGACCATGTCGCCGAACAGGGTGTCACCACCCGTGGTAGGTCCGTCGAGCGCATACAAGAAAGTCGTGCCGGGGGGCTGCTTCTCAAAGGTGACATCCGAGTGCCATGTAATAGTATTGGTGCGCTGCTTGAGGAACTCCTCGCCGGTGCGGTCCTCAGCACCGCGGAAGACAAGGTGAATCTCTGGGAAGCCCTTGGGGGCCCCCGAGGTCTGGTGGATGTGGTGACGACCGAAGTAGCCGGCATAATCGACGACCTCTTGAATCGGACGGGATGCGAAGTCTTGGTCACGGAAGGCTGTTTGGATATGTTAGATGCTTAGAAGGGCGGAGATGGAAGGGATTGAATCACGTACCGACAACTCGTCGCTGTGCAACATAGAGGGCCAATTGATCCTTGCCCTTGTCCGACAGCTGGCTGAGTTGCACGCCGTGGATCTCAGAGCCAATGAAGGGAGTGATCTGGTCGACCTCGACTTGGCCCTCGGGCAGCAGGTCTGGGAAAGAGGCGTCGGCATCTTTGCCGTGGTCGTAGTGCTCAAAGTGCTTCAGAGGAGGATACCTGGGGGTCTGTTAGATATATTTGTGGGGATGGGCGGCATAGGGCTGAAGTATAAACATACCTTTCTGTCTCGTTATCCCAGACGGGCAGATATTCCGGATAGGACACCGGAGCTACTTTATCTGTGCCCTTGATCTCACGCTCCTTTTCAATTTTGTATCCAATCAAGTTCTCCTTGTTGTGGCCGCCGTCTGACTTCAGTGAAAGGGCAACAGGCGGGGCCCGCAGGCCCACTGTCTCAGTGAGGGAAGGAGCCATGTTCTTAGATTGAGTTTGTGTATATTTCGATCAGATATGGCCCTTTCATATGAGGGTAAACTCAATATATAACCATTTCGGCACATCAAACCGATACAAATTACGCCATTATGGGGTTTGCGGTATGTGCGGTAGAATGTCCGGGATCGTCGCGAGCGAGCCGACGAGCCTGCGGGGTGAGGATATCAATATAAATACAATATAAATAAGCATAGTCCCCCATGGTGAGCATTGGCCGGGAATGACGTGATAAATGGCGTGCGTCCACTGACAATCGCCGTGATTTGGGATAAAAGTACCCAAGTATACGATTCCCAAATCCACTATGGCGTGATAAGACTACTGTCTAGATTTACTTTGAGAGACTTTTACATTCAATGCTTAGTTGTTGCTTTAGCAAATATTGACACAGGGAATTGGTACGGAGTAGTTTAGCATAGAGTACTTCGTACTCCATACTGTATACTCCATACTGTAGACCTTAAACGGGAGTCTACCCCTGCTAGACTTAGCACCGCCGACTCGTCAACTCTAACGTCACTCTCACTGCACTTGCGTGATTTAGCCAAGCCAACACCCAACTGGACAATATCTATCGGCTCGTCGTCTCGTCGTCTCTTTTCAAATACTAATCTACAAATTGCCTTAGAGCTCTTTTATCTGGAAGAATTTTGCTCGACATCCACGATTCCGCAGAACGCCCTTCCGACTTCGAGTCGAGACCTCCCCGAGCCAATCTAATCAGCTACATTGTACACGGGTTTGGCGCTACTAGGTCGCAAGTGGGACTCCAAATCGGGAGTTCCACATCGTTCTGTTATCAATGTTGTGATTTTGACCTGCTCACCTGGCCCACAGATGTAGCGGCCAAAGCGATGTATGCTAAATATGGCGTGATAAGCAAGCGGCAATGTCGCCTTGCTGCCTTTATATGACTTAATGCTCGTCCAACCCAGGCACTGCTTCTCTTCTTCCATCCATAATCAGAATAAACATCCCGGACCCTGCGAGATGACGGTTGAAGAAGCCAATAACAAGGTCTCCGATACCGAGGGCCTTGATTTCAAGGCTACTCCGAGAATTTCATCCGCAGAGTCTTCGTCTTCATCAACGTATGACGGTCCCCGAGCCAAGCAGACTGACTGTGCTTTCGATACTACCGAGGACCCGCGGTTCTATAAACCCATTCCTGAATATGAGGGTGCCCATCGCTGGGACCCGGACTTTGAGTGGTCAGAGCAAGAAGAGAAAGCCGTTGTCAGCAAGGTATGAGTTACTGAACATATCACGTATGATGTTAGGAACTGACCAGTTCGATAGATTGACTGGCGAGTGTGTACATTTGCCTGTGTGACTTTCTTTGCGCTCCAGCTAGACCGGGGTAACATCGTCCAAGCCACGTCTGATAACATGCTGAATGATCTTGGCATGACCACAAACGACTACAACACTGGCCAAACAATCTTCTATCTAACATTTCTCTTCGCCGAGCTGCCCTCTCAGCTCATATCGAAATGGGTCGGCCCCGATCGCTGGATTCCCGTGCAAATGGTAAGCTGGAGTCTTATCGCCGCGTGCCAGGCATTCATCCAGAACAAGAATGGATTCTGGGCGACACGCGCTATGCTCGGTTTCCTCGAGGGCGGCTTCATTCCAGACACCATCCTCTTTTTATCATTTTGGTATAAATCCAAGGAGTTGCCCATCCGACTTAGCTTCTTCTGGATGACATATGAAGCAACCGCAATTATCAGCGCTTTCCTTGCTTTTGGGTTCCTCCACATTCGCCAATCGGATGGAACCGGTGGCTGGCGGTACCTGTTTGCCCTGGAGGGTTTGATTACGGGTTTAATCGGTATTGTCGCCGCATTTTGGATGCCTCCCTCACCAACACAGACTGCGGGCCGGTTCCGCGGTAAGAATGGCTGGTTCAACGAGCACGAAGAGAAAATCATGGTTAACCGTGTGCTGCGCGACGACCCAAGCAAGGGAACCATGCACAATCGTCAGGCTGTTACTCCCAAGCTACTATGGCAGGCCCTGAAGGACTATGACATGTGGCTTATCTATCTGCTCGGCCTGACTTGGATGATTCCTAGCACCCCGGCTACGTCGTACATCAGTCTGGAGCTGAAGGAGCTCGGTTTCAGTACTTTCCACACGAACTTGCTCACTATCCCGGCCTATGTGATCTTCATTCTCAATTTGTTAGTGTGGACTTGGATGTCCGAGCGGTTTAATCAGCGACTACTACTTGGAGTCGGTGCTGAGATTTGGGCTCTGATCCTGCTGATCGCGCTAGAGACTATTTCTGAAGATGCTAGTGCTTGGGTTCGTTGGGTTTTGCTGATCATGTTGATTGGAATGCCTTACGTGCATGCTATTATTGTTGCAATTACATCGCGCAATGCAGGTTCGGTCAGGACGAGGACGGTTGCTACTGCTGTCTACAATATGATGGTGCAGGCCAGTAACATCATTGGCAACAACGTGAGTCCTTCCGGTTTCCTTGTGCGCTCAAGTCATCATTACTAACCATCACCTCCAGATCTACCGCACCGAGGATAAGCCGTACTATCACACCGGTAATAAGGCTCTTATCGGTCTTGCGGTGTGGAGTATGGCGATATTCATCATTGCCAAGATTTACTACGTGAGGCGTAACAAGTATGTTGAGCCGTACACTCCGATCGAATTCCGCTTACTAATATTTGATACTAGACAAAATGCCGCTATCTGGGATAAAATGTCGAGCGAAGAGCGGTCGCGATACGTCGTCGAAAACAAAGATCTTGGAAACAAAAGGTATGTCTCGTAGTCGTCTCCTTCCAGTGCGACTGGATGCTAATGACCTCGCTACAGAGTGGATTTCCGATTTTTGCACTAGAGCTTAGAGATGGTTCTAAAACATCAAATAGAGCAAAACAATGAGCTGAGCTCATTCGGCAGCAATACTATTAAAAAACCTTCCGTCACCGAATGTTCAAAGTAGTAAAAGAGTGATCGACACATCGATTTAAACCCGAAAATTGTATCCTTCCCAAGTTCCTACTCTCCGATCACATACTCACACCCCTCATTCCCAATCCAAACCTCATGGACCTTTCCAGCAGGCACATCAACCCTCTCTCCAGCTCGAAATGTCTCTTGTTTGACTTCCCCATTATGCAATCTAGCATTATCATCAGGGTAAGTGATTGTGAGTGATCCACGGCGGATAAGGTGTGTTGTCAAGCCGCTATGCGAGTGCGGGGAATAATGGGCGTTGCTGGAGGGCGAGGTCAGCGTTAGGATCTCCACCCGCACATGAATGACTTTGCTGGGAATTTAATCGGTTCTCCCCATTTTGGGTGTATCAACTTCGAGAAAATACATCCATTTACGTACCTTCCGTCTGTCCAGGTGAAGATATGTCGAAATCCCCACTCGCGGACGAGATGCTCGCATTCGGTGCGTGTGCCGATTGGATATTTTTCCGTCATTGCGCTTTGTATTTTCAGTGTCACTTTCCTGCAGAAACAAGGGAATGCAACATATACTAATGGAAATTGGAGGCTGGCTGATGCATACGTACCGATGAATGCCAAGTCTCTCGGAACCTTTCCCTTTCTATTTTAGGGCTTAGCTCTTGCCGATTTGGGAAAACCGAGCTGAGAACAATTTGGGCCTTGCTTTGGTTTTATCCTTACGTATCGAAAATCAAAGGAGATTCGGGGTTATGACTGACCCTGGTTATCTCGAAGACCTGTTGAGGTTGAACCCGTTGACATAGGGCATAGAGTTGTTCGGAGTGATGTAGATGATGTCATGGAATATCGGAACTCCCGATGTCACGTGGGGCTATACAACTACTTTGTCTACTTTGTACATATGCAGGACAAAAGTACTTGAAGAAGCTCGGATTTAGTGCGAGGGGTACTTCTAGATCTGATAAAAAAAAAGACGAACTCGGCCCGATAGGTAAAGATAGCACCCGATTATATAACTGGGCGAAAACCAAAAATGTCGTATCTCATGAGAAAACGCTAAAAAAAAAAGAGAAACAGAAACCCCATGGCAGAGACCTATTGCGGCTTTTGAGGTTTACCCAGTAATAATTTTGGGGTGTCGACCTTCAAGATGTTCGTAGGCCTTCCGTGTGTTCAGGCGTGTTGAATTCATTCTCGAGATTCAAGTCTCCATATGCTTGGGAGAGATTATGATGTGAAGAGATCAGATCATAGAACGTTTGGGCACATATGACTGCGCACGATATATGTGCAACTCGGGCGTATCATGCACAAGGTGTGTGACAGATGTGACAGTTTTTGCCTGGGATAACCCAAACTTCTTTCCCCTGCGCTTGGCAATTGGGGCACCGCACACCGGGCATCTATGTTATAGTTAGTATGTCTTTATCAAAGTAGTACCACATCGAGGCAGCATCGGAGTACCAACCTTGGTGGTGGAGTTTGAGCACACTGGTGCGGCACCGGAGGAAGTCATAATCTTTTTGGTTGGCTCAAGGGATAAAGAAAGGTATAGAGGTCTTTTGCCGGAGCCCGAGAATAGTTCAGATTTCTCTTAGGTCGAAGTATGAAGACAAAGCCATGGGATAGTAGGACGAGGGCCGTCCTTTTAAGGCCCTGGAAAGCAAAGCAAGGAAAGAAAAAGAGAAGAATAGATCTCGTTCATCAAAAGTAAAGAAAGGAATCAAAGGAAATTAAAAATAAATAAATAAAAAACAAAAATTGTCCAAAATAAATCTCAAAAAACCAAAACTTAGCTCGGTAGTTCCCGTTCATATCGGTCACTTTGTTCTGATCGGCCATTGACAGGCTCCTGACAGCTTGGCTTAGCACAGGGCATCAAAGCCCAACAGAGTCACCACTGTCGCCAATACATTTAAGCCAATCAGAGTGGTCTGTTCGGTAGCCGAGGCCTCCGGGCCCGAGTGTTTGCTCGCAAAGGGTTAAAGGGATTATACAAAGAAATTTCAGTTTCGCTAAGTGTTTCTTCCGATTCAAAGAAAAAGGGGCGCAACTTTCAGCACCAGTTGATGTGTCAACCTCGAAACCCTATGGCAGATCCAAGATGGGTCTAGCGCACAGCCATCAGCCGTACTATCATTGTGATTCGCCGACGACATGGGATTTCAGTCCTTGAAAAGACGATCCGGCCCGATTATTGGCTCTGTCACTACCCGTTTGTTCAAAGGCATATTACCCTGTTATGCATGCAAATTTGGTGGCGCATGAACCCCTCCACAGAAGATCTATCAAATTACAAATCCTTACACCTGAAGAACCATCCATTTACACCATATGCTCTGTACTCTGTACAACATGCGGACAGAAAAGTGTGTATGTCTGATGTGATTCTCTCCGCGACGTGTAATGGTCTTTGGCCACAATTTGGTCGGGAAATTACCGGTCAAATTGACTTATCTGTTGGTCTCCACTAGCAATGCTGATCAATCTGATGCATGTCGCTTGGCACGTTGATCGCTCTTCATGCTGTGCTTTTCAAGGTGAACTTAGAGTGATCTCAGGGTTTACTTCTCAGCTTCCTCTACATGATCTCCACGACTGGGGCTATGGCTCGCAGCATGCAAGCATCTTTGGTTCATCTACTCCATACGGAGTACTCCGTCCTGTCTGGATGTAGGCTAAACTGTCGCAAAGTCCAAATCTGGACTGCAACCCCACGTTCTTACGCCTGTCTTGCCAACCATCCTCTATGGGTAACCTCCTTATGGCCGTGGTCCGTCATATCGGTCACCGCTACTTTCTCTCTCTCGATATGTTATAATATATAAGTGGATAGCGATGATACCTACATATGTAGGTAAGCACTCACATAATCGAGAACTATTCAGATATCATCCCAAGTCACAGGTTGCGATGTGCATATATCTACCTTAGCGCTCTTCTGGAAACCAGCATACTTGAAACCCCCTTCCATCATACTCCATACTCATGCGCGGCATCGGTACAATGCATATCATGCGGCTAATAATTGAATGAGTCTCCAAAGTACATGACACCGGCACGACACCACATACAGCACGGAGTAGGGGCCTATGTACTCCGTACATATGCACCCACCTCCAGATGCCAATGGAGCCGCCTAGCTAAAACAAGACATGATCCGCCCCCCCGAGCTCGGTCCTCTTGCCTTTATTCAGACACCCCGAGAAAATGCAAGGCCAAGACTAGTGGGTTGTTTCTAGTGACTGTTTTCCGTCAACGAAGCGTATTGCGTCCACCACTCTACACCATGCAGCCCCAAAGAGTCAAACATTCCAAATGCCAAAATAACCTTTACGTGCAACGCCGAAATCCCGAGGTCAGATATGCACGCTGACTGACACGATTGTATCTCACAATCGTCGATAATAGCCTGTCGCCTTTGGCCATATCGAAATGAGTTTGTGATACACATTCCGAGGGATTTGTCACATTTGTATGTCAGAGCGCCTTCTGCAACCTTTTTGTTCCTGATGCTCCCAATATGGAAGTACGCTGTACGACATGCTGCCCAACTGCCCAAACCCTGCCCAAAGACAAACGGTGGCTTTGGCGCTGTGTTTATTGGGGCCTTTTTATTTTGCAAAATGTCACAATTTGTCGCGTACCTAACGCTATACTACTAACAATTCTGAACACTAACCCACAGTCTGGGTAGTTAAGTAAATCGCTTGACAATATTAACCAGCAAGATCCCTCCGGTATTCTTGCCGGCGCAGTCATGGAGATGAAGTAGCCGATAGCCCTCCCGTAGCCGGTCAAGTCGGATGCAGGCCCACGCAGCCAACGGATCCCGACCGATCTCATCGTCCTTGATCTTAAACCTAAAAAAAAAAAGAAAGCAGAATCAAGTCAGTGGGTTGTTCGTACTCCGTGCATAGTGCTTGCATTTTCGAGAGCGAAACGCGCTATGGGGGAGTGTGCATGATTGTGCATGATAGTGGAGGTGATGCCGGGGAAAGCCACAGGGTTCCCTGCTAAGCCCAGACGATGCGTCGTGTTACCAAAGGGGAGCCGGAAAGAAGCAAAATACCAAGCCCAATCGTCATGTTTATGTGATGCGGGCAAGTGCATATGTTCTTTGGCGGGTATCACATCACAATGCAGGATTTATGTCCGCATACTCGAAAACCAATTCATGTGATGGGGAGGTATAAATGCAGCAAGGGGAAATATTCGCAGAGCAAGGGAGAAGACAAAGCACGAGATATATTACTCGATACATCGATGGAAGCAAGGAAGAGATCGAAGAGAAAGACTGACCGTAGGAAACTAAGCTCCTCAATTATTCCCGTCACGGTCGGGAACTCCAACTTCTGTCCCCCAAAGTCCGGGTTCCGACCCGAAGAACTCTTTGTGCACCGCCTGTAGCTGCTCTTCTCTGAATCGGAGCTAGTGTCGTCCTGGTTCGAGGTAACATCGCCTTCCGGTTCTTCGACGTGCAGTTGGCAGTTCAAATAGGGTTTGAATCCCCTCTCGCTGTGGTCGCCCGGTGGCAGAGAGAGATCTTGCGCGGCGAATACCTCGATTGAGAGGGTTAAGTTGCGGCGGTTGATAACTTCTGTCGCAGAATGGCTACTTCGGTAGCCAGAGGGCTTCAGCCGCCAGCCGTGGGTGCCGACAAACATTCCGTGATTGAGCATCATGCCCTTATCCAGATTCTGCCAGTTCAATGCTACCAGTTGGGCGCCACGTCGCCAGTAGAATGTTGGATCAAGGTTCGATGAGGTGACTCGGAATGCGTATGGATAAATACGCATCATAGATCTTCGGTTGTGCTCAAACAAGGCGTCGCGATGGGTGACGTGAGCTTCTCGCGCTGCCTTCTCGGAGAGCGAGAACACATGGAGAGGAACCTTGGCCTCTGTTGATCAAGTTAGTATCGCCGTCATGACGAGATCTACAATGATAATGCATACCCGGTTGGTCAAAATGACTAAAGTGATACGCGCGAGTATAAACAGCCATCTTGGCCAGGGCGTCAAGAATCTTTGATGGCTTCGGCGACTGCTGCCCCGAGGACTTATCGTCGGATTTCTGCGGCGTCAGGGTTTCTCCTTCGGCTTTCTCGTTCTCGCCGCTTAGTGGAACGCATTTGCTCTTGATCAAGATCTTCCCCTTCAGATCAGCCAGCGAGGGAAGCTTCCCCTGATCCGGAGGAGCCTCCACGAGCAATCCTTTCCACGCCTCCAACATGATTTCAACCATCGTCTGTTGCTGCTCAAGAGATGCATGTACCTCGAGACTAATGACCAGTGGAAGATCGCTGGCAATAAATCCACTGTCGCGAATTGCATAGCAGATTTCACGGAATGTGGTTCCCTTGGTTAGGGTATGGCCATGCAGAACACGAGGCTCAACCCGAACAGGCATGTGGCTCGTCGCACACTCTTCGTCCACTGGCCGCTGGGGCGACCTGACAGATTTGCGACGGAGGACGCCATTGAGTTTCGCTTCCAATTTGGACGAGACCGATTCTTTGGGTTCTTTCGTGGGTTTTTTCTTATTTTTCAGCTTGCTCCCCATACCCTTCTTCCCTTCTTCCGTCTCTGAATCACTGCTACTGTCGCTGTCGCTTGAGCTTGGGCTGTCCAACTCCCCATCCCAGACATCAATCTCGACTGACCTGCAGCCACGGAGCAGGACCTGTTGGAGCATGAGTAAGCCAAATCTTTAAATTACGGGTCCTGGGAGGTCATAACATCCATGCAGCATAAATGGTAGGAATATTCTGCAACGCATTAACTCACAGATGTATAGGCACTAGCAGCAGCATTGCTGTACAGCTGATTACCCGTCAAATAAGTGTTGTGACTCGACGAGATAAAATAATCTGAAATAGGGGCGGAAAGGTCCAAGGCTTCTTCTGGTCCCATTGCAGACGAGTTCGGATCTTTCATATAGGCACGAAAGGCATCCAGAGAAGCCAGAATAGCGGCAACTGGCTCAGGAGAATCTGCGACGGCAGTGTCATGTTGCATTTCTTGGAGGAAATAGTTGGTAGTTGGAGCATATGCACCAACAGACTTGTGAATCTTCTGGATATGCTTATCCAAAGAGGGGTGGAATTTCTCCACGGTCTGTGACTCCGTCTTGGGTGGCTCATGGAGTGCTAGATGTTTAGCACGTTCCACGAGAGCTTCGACTTTCTCCATCTTGCACTGGTCTATTGTTAGTGGGCTCCAAATCAGGAGTAGGCATAGGAGATTCAACCTTCGGGTGGGAGTAGGCGTATTGACAACTGCCCCACTTGTTTCAGGGGCTTCGGATATTTCCAAGGTGAGTTTATATCAAGAACATAAGGAGAGCTGACAGGTGAGGAGAAAATCCCAATGTGACCCGTGCGTCCCCACTGCCAACGTTGCCAACGCCAACGTGGCGACTCTGCATATGTCGTTGTGCATTAAGTACGATCTTTTTGACTTTCTGAACGCAATCAATGGTGTTTATCCTTTAGGATTGTACATGATATATGGACATGATGTATTCAATACCTCGCTGCGCATAGCTTCGCTGCTTCGAGGCATGACCCTGGAAGCATCAGATTACATATCAAATATCAAGGTCATTACAGGAAAGACCCCTGTAAGAGCCTCAAGAGTGATCAGCAATGCTATCTTCCAAGTTCAAGTTTCTTTCGGACTTCCAAAAGTCCGAAATTCGAGCTGATAAATCAAAAACCCCGCTCTGTCTATAAGTACTCTTGCAGCTCAACAGGACATTTCAACCTCTCCAAAATATACAATCTACATATCTTACACAATGACTGAATCCAAAATCCATTTTTTTGATCTCCTATCGGACCTTCCCGGTACGGACTAGACCCTCGGATGACAGTAGCAGGCCACTAACTCAACCAGGCCCTTCCAAGTCATGGTCCCCCAATACTCTCCGGACTAGAATGGTCCTTAACTTCAAGGGCATCCCCTACACCCAAAGCTGGGTATCATACCCTGACATTGCACCTTTACTTAAGGCTTCTGGCGTCCCACCTAGCAAGTCGGGGATGGCTTACACACTGCCGGCAATCAGCCATAAAGGGTCAATAGCGAGCAACCCAGATGGAGTGCTCATGGACTCCGATCCAATCGCCATGTACATCGACAAGCTTTACCCATCGCCCCCGCTCTTCCCCTCTGGCGACGCAAGCTACTCGCTCATGGTGGCCGTGCTGAAGATACTGGCTTTGATGTCACCGAGTATCAGGTCGCTGATTATTCCCAACGTCCCCTCTGGACTGGATGAGCGTGGACGGGAGTACTTTATCCGGACGCGCTCTGAGGCTTTCGGGAAACCACTTTCCGAGGTCAGGCCGACGGATGAGGCAGAGTTGCTTGCTTTGTGGCAGCATGTCGAGAAGGAGGCGGAGACGTTGATTAAGATGCTGAAGGGTAAAGATGGGAAGAAAGGGCCATTTTTGGAGGGTGAGACGGCTGGCTATGCGGATATTATTCTCGGTGGGATTTTGGCTTTCTCCCAGCGCTTTGATCGGGATACCTTTGAGAAGCTTCTTGTTCTTGGGGATGGGGAATTTAAGGCGCTTTATGAAGCTTGTTTGCCCTGGATTGAAGGGCAGGGGGAGGAGAAGGATTGGCCGATTCCCCAGTAAGTTATACGCTCGACTCTCGGCGATAAAGATGGCTGTTCGGGATACTCTGCGGCGAGCTTAGATCTGAGACAAGTATCATTTGATATATAGCACAATCGAAAAAAACAAATCAATGTAATAATACACCCCGGGTGTTCCAAAAGGCCCGGTCTATCCAATATCCAATGCAATATCGAGGCGGTTCTGGGCGCCTGCGACACAACCCCAACAAAAGTACAATCGGTTTCATATGTTCCACCCGAATTGACATGGAACAAGCTTACAGACCACGCAGGAAGTTGGACTCCTTGATGGCCTTCCGTCTGGCATCGCGTGCACTCCGGATGATCTCCGAGCGCTGCTCGAAGCCCTCGGTGGCATCGGCCATGGCATCCACTGAAGGTGCGTCGCGGTTGTAGGGTGCGGGGGTGATATCGTGAGCGTGGTGGTGAGCGGGGATCTTAGCGGCGAGGGGACCAGTGCGAGCAGCCAGCTTCTTCTCATAACGCTTTCGTTGCTTCTTGTTCAAGGCTGCGATAGGGTAAGCATCGTATGAAAAATAGGAGACCCAGATATCTTACTGCTTGGGTCAACACCGCCCTGCTTAGTCTTTGAGTCCTTGGTGGAATCTCCCAAAAGGTTCCATAGCCAATCTGGGTACTCGGAATCCTCCTTAGCGAAGACATCTGGCTTGTTCTTGAAGTAGTTGAGTCCGTTCAATTTGGTTCCGGCCGGGCAGCTGCTGGGTGGGCGCACGGCAGTGGGTTTTGTGGAGGCTCCGGGGTTGACATCGGTGTGGACACCTTCGGGGGTGCTCAAAGGCTGAGAAATGCCGGGGGTAGCGGAGGAGATGGCGGATGGGGTTGTGAGATCGCCGACCGTGGGTTGGCGCGGCGAGGGCGGAGAAGGAGTAGCAGCCACAGGAGGGTTGTTATCAGTGCTATACGAGCGTAATTGGCTGCGAACCAGAGGCAGTTGGCGTGCACATGCTGAAGCCGTTCGGGTCACTGCCTGCTGGGTGAATCGGGACAGCATCGTCGTGCGGCAGCTTTTGCAGATCATTGTGGCGGGATAAATTAGAGAAAGACAGAGAATAGACTGAAAAGGTATTCGAATGTTCAATAGAAGGCCCTAGACAACGAGGAATCCCAATTGCGTTGAGATGCAATAAGACACGCGCGGAGACAGAGCTGTCGCGAAAACTGCGGCCATAATTTGATGCCAAGACGGAGATCAATCACGTGATACGTCAACAAATTGGCGTACCGACGTAGAACAGCTTCATCTATCGCTACAAGGCTCTGGTCTGTTCATAGATTATGTGTATCGCAAGTGTATATCCCCAGAAAACTATGATTCCCGAAATTTCTTGTCCTGACTTCAACCAAACAGGTTGTATAATCTTTCTTATCACGTGATGTCACGCATCTCCGCATCACAGCTAGCCAACATCTACCCAACATTTATTCAACATCTATGGATTAGTTTTCGATTACCAGTGAGGATTGAAAATACGTGCTGCAAATTTCAAGGATAAAATGGGAACTTTTGTTAACTTGTATACAGCGAGAAAGAGAAGTATATAAATGACTCTGTACACCCAAACGGGAGAAACATCATAGGGACCGACAAAAAATGCTCGCAAGTGATGCGACTCTGATCAACATGCTAAACCAAAAAGAAATAGACAACAATTATACCGAAACATATGCCTCCAAGGGGCCATTGTTCCGGTGAGCAGGTATATTAGAAACAGGTGAGAAAGGCAAACAAAACATGACTGTCATATCGGACCAACATACGAGGACCGCACTATGAAGACAGACCACTGACATCCAAGAAGTTGCAGATGTCCTGGCACGCATCCTTCAGACTCTTTTCTGTCTTCCATTGAAGCTCTTCCGTTGACCGGTCGACGACCGCAACGCAGGCGCCAACGTCACCTTCGCGACGTGGCGCGGCACGTCGAGGAATGGGCTTTTCAATAACGGCCTCCATGGTGCTGACCACATCCATCACGGAATTACCCTTTCCAGTCCCGAGGTTGAACGTCCGGAAATTTTCTGTGAGCTTGCCTTCGTTGGCCGAACTGAGCGCGGCAATATGCCCACGAGCCAGATCGCTAACGTGGATGAAGTCACGGACGGCAGTGCCATCCTCCGTTTCCCAGTCTGTCCCAAACATTGCAAGTTCGGAATACTGGCCGGTCATGACTTTAACAACGACGGGAAGCAGGTTTGTTGGTGCCTGTCTTGGATCTTCACCCAGAAGGCCGGAAGGATCACAGCCAACGGGGTTGAAATAGCGGAGTGCAACAATGGTCCATTCCGGGTCTGATGCAGCCAGGTCGGCCAGAATGGTTTCACACATCCATTTTGTGCGTCCGTACGGGTTGGTGATTCCAGTGCATCCAGGTTGGATGGATTGTTGTGAGCCTGTGTGATCTGTGTACAACTCTTCCTTGTGAACACAGAGTTCCTCTTTCAATGGAAGACCCGAGGTTGCGAGGGTTCCGTATACGGTGGCGGAAGACGAGAAGATGAAGGTCTTGATGCCGAAGTCTCCAAGGATCGTGGCAAAGTCGACAAGACCACTGACATTGTTGGAGTAATACTTCAGTGGCTTCCGAATGCTCTCCTCCACGGCCTTATAGGCCGCGAAGTGGATGACTCCGGCTATTCTCGACTTGGGAGTTCCCCATCGGGATGGGAGCTGGTATTCCTCAAGTAGGGGCTGAAGAGCTTTGGTGTCACGATAATCGTGTGCATGCAATCGCAGAGATGGCATCGCCGTGCCATTCTCCTCGTGATGCGTTTTGGCCAAGAGGCTGATACGGTCGAGAACATTTTCGAATGCATTGCTTAGATTGTCGATCACAATGACGTTGTAGCTTGCCTTGAGCAGCTCAAGCGTGGTATGACTACCAATAAAACCAAGGCCACCAGTGACAAGAATGTGGCTTTGTGAAGGGAGTACGTGCAACAGGTCATGGAGATTGTCAAATGGGTCTCCAACCTCTGTTGTGGGTGTGTCTAGGGCGATAGGAGATTGCGCAGGACTGCTCGCATCGGACCTTTGAGGGCTGTCCGACCTCGAAGAGGAAGATGATGTAGGCTCAATCATGGCGAGAAGTCAAGGATAATGGATGCCAGGTAAGTTATGCTACCACTGAAAAGGAAGAAAATGTTATATGTTATTATATGACCAAGACTGAGATAACCTGGTCCTTTGGTGGGCCTTTAACCAAGGTTTTATACAAAACAAGCGAGGTACCTGCGTTGCCTCACTCGGGTTCTCTGTTTGAGTTCACCTATTATGCCATCCTCCCTTGGCGAATGAGGATTCAGCACAGTCCTCCGGCAAAAATAGAAGAGAAAGAAACAAAAGGAAGCATAAGCGGAATAAAAAAAGCACAAAGAGAGAATTAGGAGGGGCGGTAGGCACGAACTGGAACAGAACCATCATGCCCCTTGGTGGGCCAGGCATGCGGCTGGGCCTTGGGATATCATTTTGTACATCCTCTGCCCTAAGTGCCTCCACCCTGTATCGTCAGGGCCTCTCGGCCTAGTTGAATCAAATGGAATTATTATTATTTTTCATATATATTTCTTTTTTTGTATTTTCCACGTCCAAGACCTTTTCCGCATATGGCCGAGGCAGTATATCCATTTTCGTATGGACACTAAACCTAAGAGTATTGGACTTGTTCTAATTTGGTCTTTTTAGCTGGCCACCATTGTTTGAAAAAAAAATCATGCTCATATGTAACCGGTAGTCTTCGCGAATCCACACTCTTCATTTCGACTCTTCTCTCTATACTCAATATGGCCGATCCCGAAAAACACGTGAGCAAGCGAACATGTCTTAAGACGAAGCGTTCTCGTTTCATCTTGGCAATTGTGGTCCTTGTTGTGATTATTGCTGCCGTTGTTCCCTCCGTTGTGGTCACTACTCTCCGAAAGAAAAATAACATGGGTCCGAAAGCCAAGGTGTTCGTTCCACTCTATGTATACCCTGCTCCTGGGGCGTGGGCTCCGCTGGAAAATGTGTATGTTTCACACCCTTTTAATGCCAACCTCCCCTCCAAGATCACTGCTTTCTATCCCGGCCGGTGTCGCGCCGTTCGGGCGCCAAACCATACCATCACATATCAAAATTTAAAAAGAATAACCCCCCAAAAAAGCAAAAATACAAAGAAAAACAGCTGCTGAACGCCACAGGATATCTGCCCACCCTAATGTCAACTTTACCGTCGTAATCAATCCAGGAAACGGTCCAGGGCCTGACTCTCTTCCGGATGGCAATTACACCCGTGAAATCCCAAAGCTTACTGCTTACGAAAATGTGCGCCTTTTGGGTTACGTGTATACCTCATACGGAAAGCGAAATGTCTCTGCTGTGCGCCAGGATATCCAAACCTATGCAGACTGGCCGACTAATTCCTCCAACCCCAACCTGGCGGTTCGCGGGATCTTCTTCGATGAAACCCCTCAGCAATACGATTCTCAAACCTTGAGGTACTTGCAAGGGTTGACGGACTTTGTTAAGGATATTAAGAGTCTTGGTCCTGATCAATTTGTGAGTTCTGCAATTCTTCCGAGACTGCTTTTACTTTACTTAATCACTGCCCCATACCACATACCCCCTGTCTCGCATCATAGACCTATAATTTTGTTTCGTGATTTTATTATGTTTTCCATTTTATTTCTCTCGGTTTATTACTCCCATATTACTTTCAGAGCCACACTATGGCATTATTGAATTCTATCCCAACACCCCATGTTCCACCCCGGCCTGTATCACAATGGTTTCCCCTTCTGGAATACATAAGCGAAGTCCATGGAACTAACGAAGACTATCAGGTTGTCCATAATCCGGGTGCTGTCCCTGATTCTCGGTACTTGGCAACGGCTGATTCCACCGTTGTGTTCGAAGCTGCCTACACTACTTTCCAGGAACGGCAAGGCGCCAAGCTGTTCGCCAATATTGCGGACAGCAACCGTACCCAACTTTGCGCCATC